TTGTGAACTGAAGCGACCGTGCCTTAATTAACAACGGGTAATCCACCTGAGTGGTGGGGCTTAATCATCGGGGACAAATTGAGTTTTTGCAGGATTCACTAGATGGTCAAGAAATTTATCGACCAACTCCGCTGGATGCATTTAACTTGTTAGTAAAAGTGCAACTTGACTTACTTGACTTATGGTCCTATGTCCCCTAGATGGGGCAGAGGGCGTCCACAACAGTCCTCTATCGCGTTCGGTCTTGAGCTATGTGTTTGATCTCGCTCCAAGTCTTGCCGATCTTCTTCGCCTCGTCTGCCACAGTGCGCCGCCAAGTTTGCTAAAAGTGCAAGGGTCTTGCTTTTACCTGTAAAATGCAAGTGTATTTTGTACACCAAGGTATTTTATTAGGGATACGCTAAAAGAATTGATTTTATGTCAGTTACCTATCTGAGTAACTAAACTATTTCGCGAATGTTAGCTTGCAAATGATTTAGGTACTTATCTCTTGTTTTGCGCGGACTTAAGAAGACAACCTAAGTTGGGTAGTAAAATAAAATAACCGAGGAATAAACTAAAATACTTTGGTAGATGTAGGTAATACCTGTGGTTACTCTGAAATTTATCTTTTAAAATCCACAATCTTTGAAAAATATACAAGAACAGATTTAGCCGCTTTTCCATAAAAAATGGTAAGCAGTATATACACAGTGTAACTTCATACCCATCTAACAGTCTACATGACTATACATCTACTCGTATTTAGTAACTAAACACTAACTTTCTACATTCTGGTCGTGTAATAAGGCTCCTACACATAAATTGCCGCCACACGTCACTCGCGCGGCGGAGAGACGTTGCTAATTCCACTATCAGGCGCTGTGTGGTGAGCTCCCTCACACCACTTAGCACTTACTTGAAGCTTGCAAACATAACATTATATGGCCAATCTTAATATATTTACTGTGACAGTCTGTATATTCGTCGCTTTAGTTATTAAGAGAGATAGAGTGATGGTTTTGATAGCACACCACACAAAATTAAACAATCCTGGAGATTAAACTTGAAAGTTTGTGAGAATGGATGTATTTTACTCTTTCACGCAAAAAATATTGAACTAATTTTGATGAAACTTGACATTATTACCACCATTGGAATAACATTATAAGCTGTAATTTCTTGAGGGCGAAGTCAAGCAAAAGCTTTGAATATACCAATACAGTTATAAAAATATCGATAGCGTTATTGTCCAATTAATACGTCTAAAAGGCTAGGTAATTAGACAAACCAATCAATCCTTAATGAACTACATATAATTCCATAATTGAAATTAAACTATCTTAAAATTGTCCTGAAACACTAATAAAGCGAGAGCTTAAAGTCTATATTTTACCGTAGTTAAAACAAAAACAATGCCGAGCTTTACCGATGAACTGTTCGTCTGGCATCTAACAACTTTTTCCTCGAGCTACAAATATAGCGTCAGAGATACGTAATGTCTGTCGACCTCTGCGTTCTGTAAAACCCCGAAGATATACATACATACTCGTACATAACATATGAGTATATACTCAGTCAGTAGAGTTCAGAGTAAAATTATACGAATCAGTTTTGTACACTTTAGTTTCACTTCGTAGTTCAGTTTATGTAGAGCGCTCTACCTTCGTTAGTTCGAAACTATTTACACGTGTTTTGAGTCAGTTCTATCTGTTTGAATAAAGTTGTTGAAAACGTTTCATAAGTTATGAATTTAGGGGGTAACAATTAAATGGAATTATAAGTAGTATGCTAAAACGCCTACAGTAAAATATCAGCAATCGATTAACGGTTTGACTGCGACTTTGCCATAAAAACTTTGTCAGGAGTTACATAAACAGATACTGTTAACTTAGTCGTCGTCTCTTCAATACCTACCACAGTAAATAGGGCCGTACTAAGGTCAAGTCGTCTGTTGGCGTCCAAAGACACAATAAGCTAGATGACACAATTTCAATCCCAACTAATATTATAAATGCGAAAGTAACTCNCATAATAATCTTCTTGACAAGATATCGTCAAACAACTTTGATCTGAATAATTTTGAACTTTACTGACGAACAGTTAAAGATTATTTTCTCTAACTCGAGATTATTCTGTAACATAGTTTCAAAAGGTAATATGTGCTTGCGATTCGTTGAAGGAATCACTTTGAAAACTGACGAACCTTTTCATTCCGTGACTGTACATACGATGTGCAAATATTACAAAAAATACGGTTATGTTGAAGACTACCTAAGTTGGGTAGTAGAATAAAATAACCAAGGAATAAACTAAAATACTTTGGTAGATGTGGGTAATACCTGTGGTTACTCTGAAATTAATCTTTTAAAATCCACAATCTTTGAAAAATATACATTAACAGATTTAGCCACTTTTCCATAAAAAAAATGGTAAGCCGTTTATACACAGTGTAACTTCATACCCATTTAACAGTTTACATGACTATACAATCTACTCGTATTTAGTAACTAAACACTAACTTTCTACATTCTGGTCGTGTAATAAGGCTCCTACACATAAATTGCCGCCACACGTCACTCGCGCAGCGGAGAGACGTTGCTAATTCCACTATCAGGCGCTGTGTGGTGAGCTCCCTCACACCACTTAGCACTTACTTTAAGCTCGCAAACATAACATTATATGGCCAATCTTAATATATTTGCTGTGACAGTCTGTATTTTGCGTCGCTTTAGTTATGTTTAGATAGAGTGATGGTTTTTATAGCACACCACACAAAATTTAACAATTCTGGTGATTACACTTGAAAGTTTGTGAGGATGGATATATTTTACTCTTTCACGCAAAAAATATTGAACTAATTTTGATGAAACTACATTATTTCTTTAGTACCATTGGAATAACATTATAAGCTGTAATTTCTTGAGGGCGAAGACAAGCAAAAGCTTTGAATTTGAAAAGAATACCAATACAGAATAAAAAATATCGATAGCGTTATTGTCCAATTAATACTGGTCGAGAATGCTTTAGTGCATTAAGTTCGCCTTATGTACAAATTTATTTTGGCATTAAAGTTTAAATAAATAAATACGTCTAAAAGGCTAGGTAATTAGACAAACCAATTAATCCTTAACGAACTACATAGAATTCCATAATTGAAATTGAATTATCTTAAAATTATCCTGAAACACTAATAAAGCGAGAGCTTAAAGTCCATATTTTACCGTAGTTAAAATAAAAACAATCTCGAGCTTTATCGATGAACTATTCGTCTGGCATCTAACAACTTTCCCCTCGAGCTACAAATATAGCGACAGAGATAATGTCTGTCGACCTCTGCTATCTGTAAACCCCGAAGATATACATATTCGTACATAACATATGAGTATACTCGTATACTCAGTTAGTTGAGTTCAGAGTAAAATTATACGAATCAGTTTTGTACACTTTAGTTTCACTTCGTAGTTCAGTTTATGTAGAGCGCTCTACCTTCGTTAGTTCGAAACTATTTACACGTGTTTTGAGTCAGTTCTATCTGTTTGAATAAAGTTGTTGAAAACGTTTCATAAGTTATGAATTTAGGGGTTAACAATTAAATGGAATTATTATTAGTATGTCAAAACGCCAACAATAAAATATCAGCAACTGATTAACGGTTTGACTGCTGCGACTTTGCCATCAAAACTTCGTCAGGAGTTACATAAACAGATACTGTTAACTTAGTCGTCGTCTCTGCAATACCACAGTAAATATGGCCGTACTAAGGTCAAGTCGTCTGTTGGCGTCCAAAGACACAATTGCGTCCAACCGATGGATAACGATGATTATTAGATGGGCATATAGTACGCAGAACTGACGGCCGATGGGGCAGCTAGTTTCTGGAATGGAGGCCGCGTACCGGAAAACGCAGCGTGAGACGTCCACCTACAAGGCGGACCGACGACATCGTAAAGGTAGCAGGGAAGCGCTGGACGCAGGCCGCTAAGTACCAATCGATCAATGTGGAAAGCATTGGGGGAGGCCTATGTTCAGCAGTGGACGTCCTATGGCTGAAATGATGATGATGATGATGGATTACCCTTGTGTAACATTAACAGTAGGAAATTAGCATACAGATTCACCTACAAAGGCTTCATTGAATGCCTCGTTGCCATTCCAAGTAGGTAACTATTTTCTACGGTTAGCGAACAGGTAGGCAGGTAGGTGGACACAAATAGGCGATTTGACCCAGTCCAGGAACCGTTCTCAACTCAAACCAGAGTCTCGAAGCTTGAATATTGCCTTCATCTCGGCCCGTTGATTTTAAACAAAAGATCCAATGTCAGACATGTTTGCACTAGTTATTACAACTTATTCAATATTATGTACGTTACCGTTTCAGAGAATAGTTTCGATGCAATACTAGTCCAGTGCAATTTAACTTTATGAAACATATCAATGTTGTAAATAGAAACAAAGTCAATACCTACGTATTGAACTTATATAGAAAAACAAAACTAGGGATAGGTTCTGTCAATATTTAAAAACATACTCGTATTTAGGGAATAATGCTGAGTTGCACCATCTTACTTTAACTTTGACAACCGTCAAAAATCTGTCAAACTCCATAAAAAAAACCAGCGGCTATTGATAAAGTTACTCTAAATAAAGCAGTTGACAGGTCCTAAGCTTAAATTATTAACCTTAAACATGAAGAATATTTCAATAGGTTACGTATATCGTAAAAAAATGTAGCTGTTTGAAAATCAGAAAGGCATTGAAGAATATCTAATAATAAATAAGGTATGTAGATTGCTAAAATATTCAGACTTTTGGAAGAAACGAGTTAACATTTTAATCCAATTTCAATCAGTCACCTTTACCTTGGAGGACACGTGCATTATTTGCTCGAATGTTCATTAAACTTTTCTTGTACACTTCATTATGCTGTAACCTTTATTGGACTAGTTTTGAGGCATGTTTCCTGGAGTACTCAAGATAAGTCAGATGATATAAATACTGTATGGGACGGTGTTCGGACATCAATTACTTGAGATTCGCCGTAGTCACAACAACTACTTAACTTACAAAATGGTTGTGAAGGTAAGTTTTTCAATAATTCTAATTATTAATTTGCTTTTTAAGGAAGAAAGTTACTATTTTGTGACACTCGACAAGATTAAAGTGAAATAACCATAATAAAGTCTAAAGAAAATAAATTACTTTTCTAATGCGCCGAAAATATTATAAAAACTTTCCAAACACTTTTTTATAATCAGAGAAATATTTCCAAAAGACTGGTTGTCCTATTAAAGATTTCTGAGTCCAATACCTACTGACTAATTATAAAAAAAAACATGTGAATATTGGTTTTAATCTTGGATTTAAGTGAAAATAGTATGAAGCATATCAAAATAACATTGCATCAGCATTGCTAAAAATTACGTATTTTTACGCAACTTTTAATTTTATATCTCACGCATAAGTTTAAAAATCCATTGCGGAAAGCCTTGTATATGCCGTCGACTGCACACAATGAAATTACGTCAAGTTCTCATATTTTTCTAAACATAATCTCCTACATTCTAAGAGAAAACGTTGGATTTAACTTCAATCTTAAACCACAATTTAATCCTCTTGAACCAGTCGGGGTTTTATTGAATCTTGACATTTGACTAAGTTCGCTTTAATATTCAGGACGAGTGCTTGTTTCAGACAGTTCTGATAGATTTTAAATTAATAGGTACTTTTACAAGGATTTGCTAATCAATGATGATTCTTGTGAACTATGAAGTTTGAATTTATTGATGCTTATAAATTATAAGCATCAATAAATTCAAACTTCAATTGGAATCGTTTAGATTATAAGTTATAATCTAAACGATTCCAATTATCCAATTTATAATAGAGGAAGGTAGGTAGGTATATCACACTAAGTATAAAGAGGAAAGATGTGATATTTTGTTTGTATGTATTGAATAGACTCAGAAATTACTGGACCGATTTGAAACATTCTTTCATAATAAGAATTCTAAATTATTTTTGATGAACACATGCATTATTTTTGATAAGTTCGCCAAGTCGCAAGTGTAACTTTTTGATGTGCCAAGTTCATTGAAGTTATTGCGGTGTGTTTCTTTGATTTATTAAATTAATCCAATTTTAAGTTTCGTTTTATGACTGTNATGATTGTCTTATATTTTAATGGGTAATAGGTACTAGACGCAGCAAATAAATAAGGCATTTGGTATTCCGTAAAAAGTATAATTAATTAAAATGCGACATAAATCTTTTACGCATTCTTACACTGATTGCTTCGTCGTAAAATTAGCATTAAAACAAGGTTGTGTTGTTGTAATCCCAGTTATTACACTTTCGCAGAAAAAATGGAGTGCTTTATTATTTCCACGGTCATGACGTTTACGGTTACATTGACCCTATTGAATGCAAAAACAAAACAGTTACATACAATGCCGTAATTTAATACATAATGTATTTCTTGATGCACAGAAATATAGTAATTTATTGCGTCATAATAATTCTTTTCGACTTCAGTTAAAAGCGCCATCAATTTCCAAACTAAATATAGATTGTTCTTTGGTATCAGACAAATTGGCTGATTAACTTAGTAAAGGCTTGAGTTATGACACCCTCACATCTCTATGAACGTTATATTTTTCTAGTTTAGTAATTAAATCAATAAATAAAATTAACTTAGAAAAAAACATCGTTCGTTTCAGCCAAATGACGTCCACTGCTAGACCAAAGTCTTTCCATAACGATCGGTCCTGCGCTGCCCGAAAAAGATAATTTTATAATATTTATAATGACAACATTTAACAAGATACTAAAGGTTTATAAACAAGAATTTAAAAATTATTGATTCAGCATCACAAGATATTTAATGTTCTCCTATTTCCAGTTCGTCGTAATCCTTGCTCTGGCGGTAGCTGCCAATGCCAGCAACATCAACAGCTTCGCGTACGACGTGGCGGACCCGTTCACCGGCGACTTCAAGAGTCAGGCGGAGACGCGCGTCGGCGACCGCGTGCGCGGCCAGTACTCGCTGCTGGAGTCCGACGGCACCAAGCGTACGGTGGACTACGCCGCCGGAGCAGAGGGCTTCAACGCGCAGGTCCGCAAAGACCCTGCCTTCATCGCCGCCCCTGCCGTCTACTCCGCTGCCCCTGCCGTCTATTCCGCCGCCCCTGCCGTCTACTCAGCCGCCCCTGGTGTCTACTCGGCCGCCCCTGGCGTCTACTCCGCTAGCTTAGGCTACTCAGCTCTCCCCTACGGTTATTCCGCGCTCCCTTACGCCAAGTACTTCTGAACACTGTTATCTGATGATTTTTCAAAGATGTAAATATTGGTTCTGTAAATAAAAGTTTATAAAGATTCGATGGTAAACTTGTTTAATTGTATCATTTTACTGAATAAAATTGTAGAGAATGTGAAAATCGGTCCTCCCTAACCTCTTAAATACTGCTTTTATAAATTAGAGGTGATCATCCATCATGGAATGTATCTATGTCCGTATATATCTATGTATATCTATGTCCAAATTGTCCAAACGTAGTATTGCCATGCGCTAATGTAAATATATTATTGAAAATATCAGTCCTACACGTTTTGTGTTTTTGTTTAATATTCTATCTGAAGAAAAGTCGTTAGTCTCTTTTCTTCTAACATGTTTGTATCTCGGCTCTACTTCCTTAATGCATACTAATTAGTTTGCCAAAAGTCGCTTGTTTGTGCACAAAAACTTTTATGTAAGATCTTATCCTTAAAGACCTTTAAACCCCCTTGTTATTTCAAGTACATTATGTAGCAATTGTATTGGCATAAAAACAAGGAAAACTATTTAAATTTCTATTCAGACTTGAAATAAATTCAACAAAGTAAGCACCCGCTTCAAAAATTCAGAGCTACTACGAATGGTTTAATTAATTTTTTATCACGTTTTTCCGATTCAAAGGAATAATGCTATCAAAAGATAGATCAAAAGCTAACACTCGAATAATTTAATAAAAACTACAAAGGAAACAATTTAAATTCATTTGCGATGCAAATCGGGGAGCTGTATGAAATGGGAATGGAATTTAAAGCCAATCTACTTAAGTAGAAGGTTACAAAGTGTAAAAAATAAAGCCAGAACATTGAGTGGTAATACCAAGTCCAGTTATTGCGACTCAGGGGTTGAGTGTTGGATTAAAAGAGTTTTTGTATGTAAAAAATATAGTTCTATTCAATGTTCCACAGTAATGTTAAAAATGTTAAAGTTATGTTAAAATGTTAGAAATATTCTGAGCGCACCCGGTCGCGATGGTTCCGTATTTGCACTAATTAGTTATTTGAAGTAAAATCGATGCTTTGCGAACGAGTGCGCTGATTCAGATTGTTCGGTCATAATTACGCCGAACACAAGTCTTGAAAATGTGATATTGTGGAGAGATTAAGTACTTATTTAATAATCTTGGAGCTAAAATACTATTGACCCTGTGGTTCAGGTAGAGCATGTATAAAAGGACCAACCACTTCTCATTGATGTCGAAAAAGGACAAATATGCGAATAACAGGCCCAATAAGTTTGGCCAGCGCTGGCCTGGCCAGGTAGGTATTATCAATGTTCTTTTTAGAGCGTTGCTTTACAATATTTAATTTTACAAAGGTTTAAATTTAAAAAAAATCTAAAGATTTCTTATAAATATTATTCTTAAACACATTGAAATCAAAAGTGCTGCTCTCAAATAGGTAGTGCCTTTGTTTACTTTTCCATAATCAAAAACTTTTGAAGCTGCTGTAAAATTCATCTCAAGTTATATTGTTTGTATGTTCACTGAAAGCTGCACTCGCAAAGCTTCCTTTGAAATTTTTCTATTTAATATTTTCATTCAGCAGACTGAATCTTTTCACTACTTTTTATAAGTTAATATTTTATGTGAAATATTATGTTTGCCCAACATTTTAGGGTTCTCGAGTGGAAACCACGTATCGCAAAAACGTAGAGTAGGACGCCCACGCGCTCGATGGATCGACGACCTTTTAGGATCCGCTGGCAGTGGCTTGATGACATCAGCGAGGGACTTAACCCCGCCGCCGCTGGACTATTGTAGTGAATCTACTCGTAATACAGCTTCGTTCGTTAGTTTCAGACATAATTACAACAAAAAAAAATTAAAACCAACTTAAAAAAACCGGCACTAAAAAGTAGAAAATAATTACAATATTTACTTATTTATTAGGACAGGAGTCTGTGCCAGCCTGCTCAGTGCCAAGCTCAAGAAATGTTCTAAATTTACCGGCACCGACTCCAAAAATATCAATCATGGTATACATTTTTCCTAATAAATAAATAATGTAATTAGTCGGTTTTAATTTTTTTGTTAAAATTAATTTATTTCATGCGTTTTAGTTGATTAGTCCTTGTTATTCTCTCTGAAGATGGACAGTACCTAATACCTATGTTTAAAGAGATTAAGTAAGACTATAGTTTTCCATTTTAAGTGTAAATAATCTTCCCTACAAAATACAGGCTACCTACTTTAAATATGGGCTACTAAAAAGCATCATCTAACTCCTGACTTACGAAGTTTGACCTTTCATCATCAGCTCACCTAAAAAACCTGAAGTAATACAACTGTATGTACATAATTACGTACTTAAAATATTTAAAGAATTATTCTCCAACTCCCAAGCGTTAAGGAGTTTTACCTTCAATCCACCTCATCAACATTAGATGATGACTACCAGCCGCATATACTTGAATAACTTTAGAATACATATGAAAAACGATATACGTGCCTATAAAATTTGGGGGTTGCCCTCGATTACCCTAGGATCCCATCATCAGATCCTGACTTGGTGACAATGGGACCACCTCAGAAGTGTACCCTATCGAACAAAAAATATTTTTGAAAATCGGTCTACAATTGACGGAGTAATCGGTGAACATACATAGAAAAAAAAAACATACATACAGCCGAACATATTATAACCTCCTCCTTTTTTGAAGTCGGTTAAAAAGACGTCCATTGCTGCACAAAAGCCTCATTTCTGATTCGATCACGCAGGGAAACTCCGAGCATAGCACGCTAAATCGTCTCAAATCCTTATGACATCATATTATTATTTAGCTTACTACGAGTTAATAAGGACTATTATTTTTATACGTATAAAATACCATCAACTACTGATAGCTCTATTCGTCAGACATCATTAATCAAGTCGTCAAAACGTCTTCCACTTAAGCCTTTAAATGTTATAATTCTCAAATCGATATGATCGCTCCAATCCTTTGACACGACCCAGTCCTATTGAACTGCCGTGTTTATGTTTCAGAAATGTGAAATCTCACAGTACTCGCAAAATATGAAGTTCTCCCAACCGTGCCATTGCCATGCCCTCCGAGGTTTACTGCCACTCAGAGCAATATTGCCAGGCCTGTATTTGATAAATAAAAAAGTTTCCGAGCGAGCCGCGTTTTTGTGAAATATCTACGCCCGAAGTAGGCAGTTGAGGAGGCGTGGAGCTAGACTTTTTGGAACTGAACTTATTTTGAGAGAGATTATATTTAACGAGACTAAGGAAGTTCTAAAAGCTTCAATGTTTTTTGGGAAAATATTAACTTAACATGCTAAGACTACTTTACAAATAATATTACCTAAACTTTGTTATGAAGTACCTAATCTTCCATTTCTTCTATTAAGAGAGCTTAAAATGTAAGTGTAATAACTGTAATAATTCCAAAGATGATAAAAAATTGAAAACCGCTGAATAGGTATAGTTTTTGTTATTTTTACTTGCAAAGATTTTGTGGTACGATATTCGCCAAACGTATATTTTCAAATGTTTACAAAATATTTCTCGCGCGGCTACGAATATATTCGTAGCAATCGAAGCTCGTAGCACTGCGGCGAGATTGTTTGCCGTAGCGTCTCGTAGCAGAGACGGGCGTGTATTGGATGGGACGAGTTCAAGTGCCATCCACGAACGTATTGGATGTCTGCCTCCGAGATGCTCTGGTTCTCGATTGGTTGAAATGATGAGATTGAACTTAAGTTACGTTCAATTTCAGATAATGTGGAGTGAATTAGATGCAAATAACCTTAAATACTACAAAACATTTAGCGCTACATAAACAGTAAAGCCGGCAACGAAGATCCGGATTTAAGAACTTGTAACTTGCTTGTACTATGTGTAAAGAAAAGCATTATCTTACATACTTCAAAAGGCATTTTAGTTTAATATTTTGCAGAATTCAACGCCGCATTTTATTTTATAATCCTAGCATTCTTTGTGCAATGTATTTCAATTCTGTAGACGTCTTCTGCTAAACATAGGACTTTCTACATTATAATGATTTCTTTCATAGATGGCTCTATAAAGTCTGGAGTTTTTATAGACTTAGCGTTATTTTACTGATCTTATTTTTTTTATTTTAAATTAGAGGGATATTTTATAGACATTATTATTCTCTTTTTACAGGTAAGTTCCTGTGATTATCCTGCTAGTGACGTTGACAGTGACGTATTATGGTAAGTGTAATCACGATCCCTCATTGACCTAACACTTTTACCCAATACCTTGAGCGTTGCGTGTAGTAGCACTTATATGTATTTCAAGACACAGCTGCGCAAACAATCATCAAGTTTCTCCGAAGATGGCCGACCGATAAAAGCGTTAGTTTACACTTTAGCTCGGCAGATTCTGGAGACTTAATTATGTTTGTAAACGCTTGTTTTACTTTATAAACTTGTCAGCGAGCCTATCGGATTACTAATTTAAGTCAATTAAAGATGCAAAAATCCTAGGACAATAATTATTAAGTGTAAGAACACAAAACTACATGGTATCTAGAGTCCCAAGATACCCGGGAGCATTTTAAAAATAAAACGCACCAAAAGAATCAAATGGCTGTCATATTTTATCATAAACCTCTAGTCTATAGAAGAATTTCATTGACACGTTTCCTCAAAGGAATTTCTCATAGACATTTCTGTCGGGGGTCTTTCATATACTGTAAATAAAAGCAGTAAGCTTATTTACTTCATTTTGAGTTTCAAAACGCAAGCATGCTCTTTTACAAGCCTTTATTGTGGAAATGTGGAAATAATACGAGGCCGCGAGGGTACCAAAGGTTATGTGGGAAAGACGGTACGCGATGGTAGCTAAAAGTGGGACCCTATTAATTTAAGTCACTAAAACTACATCACCCCCGATAGTTAATTGGGTAATTGTTAGCTGTCCTTGAGTTTAACTCATATCCGAAAAAAGTGTTAGATGCGCCCTTTCAGCTATCGTGGTACTGAACCTCTGCGCTGGGGCCACAGTGGGTGCTTAGACATCTCATAGGTGGTTCGCGATTTTAGGCAGTCGACCAAGTGTAGTGTTTTCACAAA